TGTCCCGAACTGTGAGGTCTTCCTCCTTCAATTTCCTGCTGACAGTTCTCTGTTAGCGACACGGTTCTGTTTGTCCTTGCTGCCCCGGTGGCTCATGTTACTGTGTCCTAATCAAACTGCTGACGGTTTTTTATCAGCGAGTGAAATAGAGCAGAAAATACACAATTTAAATGCATCACAACTGAAGTCTATGCTGCCTTCAAAGCAGAGGCGCCGACAGTAACATGCAGACAGGACTGTAAATAATAGAACAAACAGATGCCACCGGTGGAGGCAACGCTGCAGATGAACAGGGTCAAGACTCCAACTGACGAAAGTTCTCCAGCTGATTACTGACATTAGAACCATTAATTGTAAGTTTTGTGAGTTCTACGGTAACACTGAGGCATCATCATCGTCTAAACGTAAAATATGTTTCATGCATTTCCAGAACAGAAATCTGAATGTTGCAGAAAACCAACTTCTACATGATTAGAATCAAACAACTGTGCAGAAGCGATTGTAGAGATCTCCTTTTGTCCATTCATGAATCAGAAAATGCTGCAAAACCAAGAAAATAAATCCATTTCCACCATGTTTTTAGGAATAAAATGCTTGATAAATCCGGCTATGAATGATAAATGAGCAAACGCCCTCCATAAAAATGTTAAAAATGTAGATAGAAGTACAAGTTTTGTGTATGTAGTTGGTACTGAAATGAAATTTATAATGTGAACACAACTTTTAAAGATAAGTTTTCCAGCCATCTATGGACAAAAGTATTCTAACAGACGTCACCATGACACTTTGCATTACATGTTTTTTACAATTTCACATCAAAAATGCAAATGAAGTGAATTAAATATGTGCTTATTTGACTGAAACATGTCATAGCAACAAGATCTCAAAATGACCAGTGCATGAAAAAAAAGTGTGTTTGTCGCCTTAAAGTGAACTCACCGTCTCTATCTTGGTGAGCTGCTCGGCGATGAGCGCTGCAGGGAATCCCAGGATGCTGGTGGGTTCGAACTTGGAGGGGTCAGGAGGAGGACTGGTGGCGCTGCTCTGACCTGCAGACAGTGAATCAGATGGTTCAGATCATGAACAGTCACTTTGTTTGTAGCCCTGAGGACCAAAGTCACAGAAATGTCTTAAATCAAAGAAGCCACAACGAGCCCGGCTGTGTTTTTCCCTCTTTTGCGGTTTAAACTCATATATCTTTCCCCTGAGCGAAGCCGTAACGCTGCCATTAGCATACAGACCTCTCTGGGCGTCGGGGAGCAGGGCTTTCTCACTGAGCTCCTCGGCGATCCTGAGGAGGCGAGCTCGGAGGTCGGCTGCAGAGGAGGAGTCCTGGGGGAGGAGGGGAGCCAGTCGCAGCAGGCGAGAGGGCTCCCCCAGACTCTGGAAGTCCTCGGGATACTCGGACAGCCATGTGCTGAACACCGTGCACACCGCCCTGCAGGGACAGACCCACGGAGGGGAAGGAGGCATGTTCAGGACTCTGGGATGTTACTGCAGGCCACAGCATCAGCTGGGTCACATGCAACAGAACGGTTCCATCACAACTGGACCACGTTCTTGTTAAAGTACTAATTTTCAGATGAATGTGGGACTTTGCTGCCAGTAAACGAAGGCGGGCGTCGTCTGCTGGATGTCTGCCGGTGCAGCGTAATGGAAGCAGATCAACAAGCTGTCGCTGATTGCAATTGATTGGATTTATTGATATCTTCCAACACATCTTAAACGTTCTCAAGGGGCTCAGACAAGAGAAGCAGCTTTGAGATGAATCTATAATTAAGGCAAAGGGTCCAAGTTTTTATTCTTTTAGAGGGTGAATGATTACGAGAAGGAATGAAAAGGTCGGCCTGGATCAGCAGCAGCCTCCAGAGACGGATCACATCACGAGGAGCTGATTAAATATAAAGTGATGTGATGACATGACCCCAAACTGTAAAACTGAATCTAATCATATGATTGGTCATTTGACTGTTGGCTTCTCATTCCAAACAACACGGCTACTTACAAAAACAAACAAAAGACATAAATCTTCTGCAAAGTAAAAGTAATGTTAGTTTACTGGCTTTTCTTTCTGTTGCTCTGTGCATAATGTCAAAGAAACGCCGCATTCAGACCTTAAATCTGTCGTCTTGTGCTGATGTTCACTTGTTTTAAGCTGCACTAATCAATAGAAGCAAAATGATTATGTTAGTGTTTAATCTTAGCTGGTGGACAAAGTGGAGCGTTTAGCAGTCAGTTATTTCTGTCAGGAGTTGGTGGAGAACAAAACAGAGCTAAAAGGAAAGTGANCTTCCTGTGATGTGGACTTTCTGAGATTTCAGAACTTTTATTTGCACAAAAAAGCCACAACACACTGAAGGACAGGGACAGTTTGATTTCTTTAATGTGAACAGCTCCGTGTTTTTAAATTCTATTATATTTTGGCTGTTTTTATCTCACTATTTAGTCTTTCTTTAGTTCTTCTGTATAATCTGGCCTTTTACTTGTACTTATTTCTTACTTTCCTCTATAGATTTAGAGATTTGTGTAAACTCTCATGCTGCCTTTTCCAGTTTGGGGTCAGTACTTTGTGTGAGTCCCTGATTAAACTGATTGAGCCACAGACCTGTCGGTGTCCTGCCACGTCTTCCTCAGCCGGTGGATGGGGTTGCTCTGCAACGCCGACACGATGGCGTACAGCGAGGAGAAGTTCTTTCTGGCTCGGCACTCCTGTTGAAAGCACACACACGCTGTAACGAGAGCACCTGTGGCCGTGGGTCTGCCCGGTGTTGGGTTACACCGTCGGCCTCGTGTGCTGAATAATGCACGCTGCTAAAGAGGTTTGTCCCATAAGAGAGCGGCGGTGAGGCCGGGACGCTGCTTTAGCTGCAAACACTTTGCATAAAGGGAGAAGTAAAGCTGCTCATGTGATCGTAACAAGCCAAAGACAGAGTGTGTCTGTGAGCTGCTGCAGATCTCAGTTAATCCACATTTGTGTTCACTCTCATCCAGCTGTTTGCCTGCAGGTTGCACATCACTCTTTGGTTTTATTTGGATGCAGCACCGGTATAACTGGTATGTGCCGTTCATACAGAGCACGGCTCCTGCTCCGGTTTGAAAAGTCTCCCATTCAACCTTGTGGCAAACCCTCGACCTGAAGCGGTGTTTAGTTATTTGTTGCCTCTCTGTCCAGAAAGCAGCAGTAAATCAAGGTTTCCCCGTCATGCGCTGGGCTCTGTGCCGTTGATTAAAGTGAAATTAGGAGTAAAGTCACCGTGGAATCCAGGCAGAGTGTGAATTTGCGATGGTATGTGCACAGTCAGAGCTGAGAATGGGATTACAGTTAGAGGATTACTGGCTTTATTGTAGGAAAATGCACAGTTGAGGCTTTTCGGAGCCTCGGAACCCCGACTGACATTCTGTTTACAGTTTCATATCTGAATGGACGCCCTTTTCTGCATGAACATGTGCTTGTTGCATCAAAACTACTGTTCCAGAAGCTGTGTTTCTGGCCTACTGACCTCTGCCACGCTGATCCACTTCTCCA